ATTTTCCCGACAAAATTAACAGCTTGCCAAAACAATATTGCTACTCGACTTTGATTGTTGTTATTTAAGCAGAAAAAAGTACGTTATGGAAGATGAAGGCACCCGCCTTCCGGTACGAAAAGCACCTGACGCATCCTTGGTCATATTTGGCATAAGGCCTGAGTTCCAAATAAGTAGAGGAATCTTCTTTGACTAAAAATAGTAGCAGTTAGCGTTTGGGCAAAAGTCACCAAAAACCCTAAATTATGTCTACCGTGGCATATTTATTTAATGACAATTGTTTGGAAAAATCTCACAATGAGCATAGTTTAGTTTAGGATTTTTTATGACCTTTTCTCTTAGCATTTACCCGCCGGCAATTGTCCTTGATAAAAAGAACTTGGCCTATCGAGTAACTTTGACCCGGTTCGCACTCTTCCAATTGGTGGAAGTGAAGAGAGTTTGAAAGAAAGAAAGAAAAAAAAGGGTTATATTCAGTCATTAAGGCTCCGTCTATTTTCGCGAAAAATGAATGAATTGAAAGATAAATTTATTAAAAACGATCGCCTATATCACTTGATATAATTTGTTAATGAATAATATTTTCATTATCGACAACAATATATGTAGAAGCATTTTCATGGATGATGAAAATAATCTTTGTTCATTCATTTTTGTAAGCGATACAAGTAATCATTTTTAGAAAATTATTTTCCAAATCATTCATTATCTAAGAAAAAAATGCACCCTAAGTGGAGAATGAATTGACGGGAGTTCAATTTATATTTAGAGAATATCTAGAGAAGCTTTCTGTTACCATAAAATTGAGTGAAATTTACATCTTAGATTAAGATTAGTGGAAACGTGACGACCAGACGAATATATTAAGTTTGAGAATATTTGAGAGTGAGAAATGTGGGTTACGACACGAAGCGTGCAACCGATCACTTTATAGTGAATCAAGTTTTTGATGATCGTGGACGCTTTCGCACATTCCCCTTCCTAAAGAAGTTGTTTCTTTTCTGATTAAGTTAAAAGGAAAAATCACAAAAAATCCTAAATCATGCCTACTGTGAATCATTCAAAACTCCAAACTATGCCTACTGTGACACATTCGCTTTAAACTTTTTCTAGTGATATAAAAAACCTCAAATTTGTACCTATGTAGCATATTCATTGTCTATCAAGGTTTCATTATATGATTTTTCAGGCAAAACAATTTCATTTTTAATTCATTTAAGTCACGCGGGCGCCATGTCAACACTATTTACTTTTTGGCGTCTATTTAGGCAGATTTTTTAACGATTTTCATTAATAGAATTTTGACGGAGGGTAGATGTATCACGCTAGTGCAATTTGGGATTTTTTGCGTTGCAAACAAAAGTTTAAAAGTAAATGTATCACAACGAGCGTAATTTAGGATTTTTGGTGGCTTTTGCTCTTAGTTAAATCCAAACATCGTATGATACGATGTAACCAATTATACTTTATAAGTACCTATTCATACCGGCATAAAAACCATAAAAAACAAATCGACGCAAGAAATATCCACTTATGATTTGAGTATCGTGTCAATTGTAATTTTCTTGGCTATGAGTTGAAGTTTGTGCCCCTATAGAAAAAGTTTGTCTCGTACTAACAACTCTCTTGTTTTAAGGGCAAAGAGATATTATTATTATTCAGGCTATAAATAGTCGAAGTGCACAACGTATGTGTGGATCAAATGATGTTCAAATTGTTGATTTCACTACATTTCGAATATCTAGTAAACTTCGTGCCCGTCTGATATAGCCTTGCTTTTTAGTAGCTTTGCTGAGCTATAAAATACATCATGAAAGACTATAATTCATGTGTTTAGTAATATATTTTAAAGTTATATCGCCTGAGAACCAGGTCACTTAGTTTCCAAAAAATTATTATAAAGATGCCACACTTGCGAGGAGCTTTCCAAATATCGCATCAAAATATTTCTTATCCCATTATTACAGTCGAAAAAAACCAATACTAAGCAGTCTCTTAATTTATAGCAAATGAAATACAAAAGTAGGTAAATGGTGTGCTTTCGCTAGCTAGATTCGAGTGAAGCACATTGGGTCGACGGAGCGATCTCTACAGCAAAAAAAAAAAAACAAATGAATTAATAAGATTATGACTAACTTGATGAATTATTTCACTGGAAAACATACTTGTATGTCTAGGGAACTTGGCAAAGCCAATTAATTAATAGAAAATTTCGACCAAAAAAATTAATTAATAGAAAATGACCTACTGATAAATTACGATCTTCAATGTACGAATTGATAATGTCAAGTCAGTCACCAATTTCGACGAAAAGACCACAAAAAAAAAAGGACGGAAAATAGTCACTCTCGATGCAGAAAATCTTGGGCTTCAACAATTAAATAGGAAAATGATTGACGTACCCTCTTGTGGTCCTGAGTTTTCAGCACGTTTAGTGCTCTCAGAGAAAAAAATCCCATCTACTAAAAACCAAAAAATAAAATAAAATAAAAGATGCTCCTGCATAAAAAACTGAAAAGAATTAATAATGCTAAACAAAAATAGACATCCCCGAAAGGTCCACCGAGAATATTTTTAAATGCGACAAGAGAGAGACCAGGGAAAAGGAAAAGCCCCGCTGGTGCGCGGCACATGACACATGTCAAGCCCACGTGACACGGTACCCGATCTCTCTCAGGGGCGCGGGACGCGTGGCGGCACCCGATTGGCCCCGGTCCCCCGAGACGATGGTACGGACGCGCATCTGGGACGTGGCCGTCGGCTTTTTCCGTACGGACCGGTGGCGAATCTGCTCTACCCCCCTCTCTCTTTAATTATTATTTATTTCTTTTTCGCATCGAAAAATAAAAAGCGGGGGAGAAAAAAGAGAAAAAGAAAAAAAAAGCAGAAGAAAAAGCGCGCCCCCGGAAACCCAACCTGCAACGTGCTCCTCAGGTTGGGTGCCTGTCTGGGTTTCACCGGATACCGACAGGAACGGTCACCGCCTTCGGGGTATCAGTATCACGCGGCCCCCCCCCCCTCCCCCCGTGCCGCCCCGAGGGTTACCGGGACTGAAAAGTTGTCAGCCGAAGCCTTGCCAGGTGGGATTCCTCCGAGACGGGTAGTACAGAGGCCACGAGAAAATATTAGGTGAGTTAAACACTCCACGTAGGCTATGCAACACACCATTCGACTGATGACACGTGGCGAACAGGGCCCACCGGTCAGATTTTGCAGTCTCCCGTTCCTCCACTTTCAGATCTTCTCTCTCCCTTGTTACTCTCTTTCTTCTTTCACTGTTTTCTTCCGTTTCTTTTTGCGTTTCAAGACCATGGACGACGCTCGCGCTTGAATTGCAGTGTCACCAGCCAACCATTGACGACCGCTCACGAGCACGCCGACGCTCATCCATGGCCGTTGTCTGCATCATTCGGGCATGCTATTGACTTCCTTGGGTATCCATCTTTCCCATCCACCATGGACGACGCTCGCGGCCAGCCATGGACGACGCTCATCCATGTTCATGGTCGTCGTTGGCATCGAGCAACGCCGGACGGGACGGCTCGATCTGGAAGTTTGGCCAGATCTGGAGCCATGGCCGCTCGTCGCTCGCGGCCACAATGCAGAGATTATGGCCCCAAAAATAAAAGAAGAAACAAAAATGAAGTTCTACTTCTGCATTGTGTGTCCATAATGGCGGTGGTGTGCTTCTGGTATGTGTACCAGAAGAAGAAGAAGATGGTGAAAAGTGGGTGAGACGGAGAGGTTAACGGCCGGGAGATAATGTGCAGGGAGAGAAGTAACGGAGAAGAGAGAGACAGATGGGAGAGAGTAAAAGTTTATAGCGGGACCCACCTTGCCACGTGGCATTTATTGGATGGAGTGTTATACCATCCCACGTGGCATATTCAACTCACCTAATATTTTCTCGGCCACCGTGCCTCCAAAGGCTCGGCTCCGTTCAAGGAAAGGGCGGAAAAAGAAAAAGAAAAAGAAAAATGCTGCTACGTGTCGCAAGACAATAGGTGCCATGAGAAGATGGTAACTTCCACGAGATCTCAGTACTATGATCCACACCGTCCGTCGCATGGTAATCTGAAACTAAGCCCCGTCTAATTTTTCATTTAATCATCCTCTCTTTTTTTTTTTTTTCTAACTTGGTGACGCCGTAAAAGGATTATTGATTCCACAAGGAAAAAAACGTTGCGGCACAAATTAAATTCTCGCAATTCTTTTATCGCGAATTCAAATGAATTACCGTTCGACTAGAAAGCTATTTTTACCTATATGAAATTTTACACACTTGTCCTTATTGCTTGAAAAGAAGAGAACTCGATCACAATCCGAAAACATTTGTGGGGGATAAAAAAAGCACAAGATTTGGTGTTTCGAGAGATGCTAAACTCGAGGAAAGAAATAGGCGCCGGCGTGAATTTAAACCCATTTTATATAGGCTCGAAGGACTCGGTGCCACAAGATGAGGCGATTAATTTACGAGCGTGCCACGGGTTCCCGTGACGCTGGTGGTGGGTATCCATAAAAAAAAAGCCAGAAGAAACTTACGAAAGGTCTCCGGTCTTCCGCTCAATAATCTCGAGAACCGAACCCATCTTCTACCACTTCATTCTTAGGCATTTTCGATATACATATACATCTACATATACATATACGTACGTGCTAGCTTCGTGTGTCTATATACATTTGCGTATAGATAAAAAAGAGTACCGGTTGATGGAATTATTAGCCACTAATGGGGGCAGGAAATGAGGGGCAAAGAAAAGGAAATAAAGTGTGGCCACATCGTCGGCGACATATATTTGCATCCCACACACGCACGCACACGGAAATACTGGGGAAGGGAGGGAGCATTTATTCCGTGTTTCTGTTCTTTTTCTGGGATTGCCTGTTTTGGCTGTGGCCTTACCAAAAGGAGAAAGATTAAAAAAAAGAAAGAAAGAAAGGAAGATAGAGATCATCTCCTCCTCGCTCCCCCCCGCACCCTTTTTAGGGTTCTCTTATAGACTCCAAGCTCCAGCTCCAGCTCCAGCTCCAGCTCCTACCATAACCTCTCCCTCCTCCTCTCTTTCTCTCTCTCTTCTGTTCAGCTTCCTCCTGTTCGAATCCCCCCCCTTAGGGTTTCCCGGATTTCAAGCACTCTCTCTCTCTCTCTGTCTCTGTCTCTCCGCCGATCGCCGAAGCCGTCGCCGTCGCCTGATCCGGGAGGCCTCCGTTTGTTTTGGCCGCTTCCGCTTCCGGTTGGGGTACTCTGAAGCGGCCGGGCTGCTCTTGATTCCGCCGACCCCCCACCCCAGCGCTGCGCTTGGTGTTGTGGTGCGTGTTGTTTTTTTTTCTTCAGCTCCTTCTTCGATTCCGTTCCTTGGCTCGAGCGAGCGAGCGAGCGAGCGCGAGAGAGAGAGAGAGAGGGGGTGGGGGGGGGGGGGGGGGGAAGGCAGGGAGATGGTGAGGGGGAAGACGCAGATGAAGAGGATAGAGAACGACACGAGCAGGCAGGTGACGTTCTCGAAGCGGAGGAACGGGCTGCTGAAGAAGGCCTTCGAGCTCTCCGTCCTCTGCGACGCCGAGGTTGCACTCATCATCTTCTCCCCGAGGGGCAAGCTCTACGAGTTCTCCAGCTCCAGGTACATCGATCGATTTGTTCGCCTCTCTTTCCATGCTGAAACCGCTGGATTTTTTTCTCTTTTCTTTTTGCCCCGAGTAGCATAGGTATCCGGGTCTTCGATTCGACGATCTTGGTGTGTGCTTAACCAATGCATTAATCTCGCGAGCAGCTTCACGAGGAATCATGGATCGTGACGTGGGAGAAATGGTAGGACTGGGGGCTTTCAATTTGTTGGACCCAGTTCGTAGGAATCATCATCATTTGATGGAGGTAAAATGAGACCGAAAAAAAGTTGAAGGATGATGAACCAGAAATAGAGGATAGGCACAAAATAGGCAAGTACTATGTGCACAGGCTTGACGCAGGCTCTAGCTGTCAAAAGTGCTTCCTTCTGATCTCTCTCTCTCTCTCTCTTCCGTTTGGTTTCCTTTTTGGTATAGCTCGAATGCTGAGTGTTCTTTCCCTGGTGATGACTATTGAATGCGATTTTGGGTAGAGAAAAGAAAGGGAGACTCGACTTTGGATGGATTGTTTTTCTTGGTTCAAAAATGCTTTTTTTTTTTTTTAAATTTATGGCTTTCACTTACAAGAATGGCAGTTTTCTTTTATCGTTGTATTGTGTGTGCATGGGTCCTTATTTGGTTCAATGCCCAAATTTCTCACGGCCTCGTACATACATTGACACATCGGACTGGTGATATGAGACATGAACAGTTGACACAACTCGAGACAAGTTACAAGACACGAAACGCTGAAAGATAACTCGGTTACGGTCCTGAACGATATGTTTAACTCCTACAGAGAGAGAGAGAGAGAGTCAGTCAGTCAGTCATGACTCGTAAGTTCACTTGGGGGTATGCTCGAGTTTAATTTAATAGGATTTTGTGACTTGCTTAAACTGTACTTACAAAATATCTTCGGCATATCTGCATCAGAGTATTGAAGCAGTGTATACCCTACAAGGCAGTCAAGTGGTTTTGGAAGTCAGAGGCCGTATTACCAATTGGGGCATTGCAAATGATTGCTCTTTGGTTTTGTTATTGTTATTGTTTTTGTTTTTCGTTTCTCCAAATTATGGCAGTGCAAGGCTTTGTACCTTTAATCTCCAAAAACTGTGCCACCCTTGTATGTGTATAATTAGCCGGTGATAACGACTTTTTTTATTAGTAACTTTTAGAAAATGACAATGAACTTGGAATCTTAGGTCTGTTTACTTTGGGGGCCTCTCGAAGTAGATGGACCTGGTGTGTTTGCCAATAAATACTGTATATGCTATTAACTTTTCCATGATTATTGTTATATTGCCTTTGAAAAGAGTGGAACCTCTCTCTCTCTCTCTCTCTCTACCCCTACAAAGACCCCCGAATCCATATAAATAATCTGTGCACATTGTTTTTTATGCGATTAGCTTATGGGGGTTATGTGTTTGATTTGTGACCACATAATATAATGTAATCCTCGACTTACTCAGCGCAAGCTACAGAAATCCAAGCTATGTAGAGACTCTCTAGTTCTCTCCTTTTGACTGTACAGTGGAAAACTCTAGTGAAGACTCGAGTTTTGACAATTGCAGTGCACAGTGGTCATTTCGGTTTCAAGGGGGTTTTCAGTGAGTAATGTCAAACAACGAAAATTTAGTTCTGAGTTCTCTGACATGCAAATTAATCTCGATGAGTCCACAAGGTATTATTTCATGCATGTTTCAGCTTGCATGCTCTCGGGTTCTTCGGTGCAATGCTTGAAAAGTACCGTTGTGGTATCTGAAAAGGAGATTTGAGCCTTTACACAGGTTAATATGATCATCTAATGTAACCCAAAAAATGACTTTTTAGGTTCACTTCTCTTCATGACCTTTTCTAGAGCCCATAAAAGCTTTTTAAACAAAATTTTCTTGTAAGAATGGTGGAATTATTTCAATGATGTCGAGATGTATGTTAGCTGATTCAATATCTTGCCGAAGATCTCCATATTATATCAATAAATATTATATATGTGTTTATCAGTTTCTTTGTATACTGTAGTTTTTTCCTTTGGAAAGATCGAGTATCGTAGTTAACGTCTCTCTGATTTGTGTTTATTAAGTTTACCTGACTCTTCAGTCACCTATTAGCTTATTGTCCTCCTTGGACCAATCTCAGAAGTTTCTCTATTGAATAAATTGAACTTGAATGAGTACATTGTCATGTATTATGCGAGTGGATGGATTTGAAGGGCATAACTAGCGAGAGTTAGAGTTAGTTTTTAGAATGACAATAAAAACTTGGGACGCAAATGAGCAAGCCATATGAGACTGAGAGACTAGCCGAGTTTAATAAATTCTATTTTTTGGCGTTCAAGTCCAGTTTGAATAATCAATGTATCCTACTAAGTCGTACTCAGGCTTGAAATACTTCAGACGAGCAGCTCGTCAACCTAATTTATTCATAGTTGAGTTATAGAGTGTTTGATTTATATCTATATATAAGTTATAACCACATTATTGTAAGGAACTAACGATGACATAATATTTCTTTTCATGGTACAGATTTGAGTTTCTGTTTTAGCTTTACTCGAGCTTTCATCAAAATTTGTCTTATCAAGTTAAGTTTAAACATATAAAAATTAATTAGAGTCAAGCTTGAGGTCGAAAATAAAGCGTCACTGAGCTGAAGTCTGATATCGAGCTTTGAGTATTTGAAACAAAGTCAACCTCAAGTAGAAAGTCGTGTTGAGTTGACTCATACTAAATAAGAGTTACATGAGGCATTTTGTCGTAAGGTACACGTGCGCTCGCATATAGATACATGTGTTTATTAATGTGTGTGTGGGTATCATTGTAATTTGGTGAGCTATTTAATTTGAGAATTCTGCATCTTTGATATTCTCTGATCTATCAAGAAGTAACATAACATTATTTCCCATCCGGTTGTCCGTGTTCATGATGATAATCCATAGATTGTCATCAATACGCTATCTTCTTCTAGCTGGTGCTTATACGTTCCTTTTCCATATGAGGGAGTTGTCAAAACTCAAAAGCAAAGCTACTAAGCTAGTACTGTCATGACATAGAGCTAATGAACAAGGTAACTAATGGCTCTGGCACTTGAGTCTTAAGACTGATTAATAGCAAAATGGCCTGAAATTTCTTGCAGTTATAGCTATAATCCCTGCTTTTCTTAGATGATGTATGTCGAACATACAATTTTGTTGCTTTTTGGCCGTCATTCAGTATGAAATTCATGCATTTATATTTGAGTGTATGTTCTAGCTATGATTGTAAATAACACTTCCGCTCTTGCGGGATACTATGGAAATGCAGCTTGAGCAAGACAATAGAAAAGTATCAGAAGAAAGCCAAGGACATGGGATCCAAAACTGCTGAAATTCCTATGCAGGTATGCTCCAACTTGAATATCAGCATAAGAGAAGTTTCCATATCACCAATTATGTCTTTGAGATGGTGTGTCCATCCAAATATATATTTGGTTTTGACTTGCCAGAAATACTTTTGACCAGAAATAAAAGTTGGTGATTGGGAAACTACCAAATAAACGTTGGTAATTAGAAAACGAATGATGAAGAGTTCGTAACTTGAGAAACTTTTATTCAAGTCGCTTGGGCTTGTTTAATAAAATTGAAATATTTGTTGTACTTTTAAGTACTTAATGTCAAGTGAGTTTTTAAGGACTGAAAATGAAAATAAATGGTTGTTCGATAACAGATGGAAATTGAATAAAAAAAAACAATGTTTTTTTAACAAGCATGGAGTATTGAGCATTAGAACCGGTAAGATTTTGCTTTTCATTGTATATTTATTGCTTAACCAATTGACTAAACCATCCTTACTTACTACATTAAGTGATTTTTTACTTCACCAGTCAATTAGTTGTGCGTAGTTGGTGATTACAAAACACACTTAATTACCCTAAGTGCTAAAAAGTTTAATTTTTAGCGCTTGATGTAATTTTCCAACACATCCTTACTTGAGTTAATAATTTAAACCTAGTTGGTAAATAAGTGCAAATAAGTTGAATTAAGGTTAGTGATTTAATAAAATAGTTGGTAACTTCAGAAGTTGGCACATTATGCAACATAGGTTGGTAAGTTCTTATAAAAAAATTTGTAATTTCGAATTGACCAAACAAATGTGGATAAGTGACTCCAATAAGAGTTTGATAATCTAAAATTAGTTGATGCTCTAATCAGATTAAAGTTGAAAAAAATTGAGGTTGTTATTTGATATAAGATCCGGTATATTAAGAATGGTGTTAAGCGAGGTAAATTAAAGTTGGTAAGTTCTTATAAAAATTGTTATTTTGGAAATAACCCAATAACACGATGAGTAGTGACTTGGATAAGAGTTGGTAACTTAAAACTAGTTAGGAATTAATTTGAAGAAAAATTGATAAGTAACTCAACTTTAGATTAGTAACTTAGTACATGAGTTAATAATTTGAGAACGTCGGCAAGTGACTCAAGTAAAACTCCATAAGTTGTTATAAAGTTCGGTAGTTTCAAATTGACCTAACAAATGTCGTAGATAACTCAAATAGAGTTTTAATTCAAAATTAGTTGGTAATTTAATTGGAGAAAAGTAAGTATATTACTCAAATAAAAAACACTAAGTCACACAAAGAACAATTGATAATTTCAATAGTCGGGGGGAGGGGAGGATTTGCAAATGTGAAATGTGCTAAAGGGGGATCCGTTAATTAGAAAATGACTGCTCAATCGAGACTTGAGACACTTTGGAGTCAATCGAGCCACGTACTCAAGTGATCTTAGCGGGGGTCATTAGAGGTAACTTTAAGGCTAGCCGCCTCGATACTAGTGGTTGGCCAAGTTCTGACTTAAATGAGAGAGTTTATGGTTTGTGGATTTGGACTTTTTGGTGAGGACGGTGAGAAAAGTAGTATATATGTGTATATTGGAAGAAAAAATGACAAGTTTGTAAATGTAGCTACAATAGTGATTGGTGTAACTTGAGTCAAATAACAGAATTAAACGTGTAAAAACAGTAAACAAGCCTTAAATTGGAGGAGGCAAAGTTATTGGGGAAAAGACTAGGGAGGGTTTTTTTTTTTTTGAAATATCCATATAGATCATATATTATACGATTGGATTAGGGTTTGGGATATGATTTTTTGATGGTGTATGACTATGAATTGCGGGGATGATAGCAGTTATCATGCACACATCTTAATGCTTAATTAAATAACACAACTTGTGCAGATTGTGCTCTGTATAGACGAGATATGTATTTTTAGTAAAAGTTTGCTTTTTCCATGAAAGTCGTGTTAAGAAATTTTATGATGATGTCGCGAATCACGCTTAACTACTTTTTCTGTTTAGCTATAAAGTCATTATGAATTGACTAGTGCCTTCTCTCCTAGCCAAGATGCCACATTTCAAACTAGTGGGTAAAATTTTATTAGTGGTCAGTAAACTGCAGTAGATTTCATATTGGGGCACTTGCTTTTGATTTTGGTTTTGATCGGACCAATGCACTGACTATCTCACTTATTTTCAATAGATGCATTATAAATCAGTTACATTATTTTCACGTTAGCAATAACCAGCAAAATGTCTAAATTCTGGTCAATGGACATCTATGACAAAGAAATGGAAGTTTAGTTTTATTGAATTATTAAGCTAAAGTTCAACTATCATATTGCAATATTTACTTAGTTTCAGTGATCATGGTGCATTCTTCTTTTATGGAGGGATACTATTCAGATAAGAAAAGAAGCCTTCAATATATTGTAATGTTGCACTTTCGTTTTATTTATCCTTGTACTCTTTTAATATGACCATTTCATACTTTTCATCACTGACATCAAATCTGTGTGTTAAAATTCAAAAAAAACTTTCGTTCAAATAAACACCCTAGAGAGAGTTGAGATCGTGTACATAAAAAGAAACACGAGTTTGACACCAAATACAAAATCTCACTATAGTTGTAATTCATCAATCTGATTTTCAAATCTCGATGACACAAAAAGAGTTCCAAAACATCAACATACAATATTTATATAACCTAGGCAGAGGCCACATAGACGCGCCCTAAAATTATCTGAGAAGTTTTTTATTTTTTTTTTTGGGGTGGCAAATAGACTTAATAAACTAGCTTGTTAGAATTCTGATTTTTCTAATTTTTGGAGAGTTAATCACTTGGGTGAGTATTATCTTGCGTAGAGAGAGAGAGAGAGAGAGAGAGAGAGAGAGAGAGAGAGAGAGAGAGAGAGAGAGAGGGGATTTGTGTTGCATGGGTTTATTCGCTTGTGTATGTTCTGTCATCACCATTCACCCATTATACTGAGAGCACTATCATGGAATCTATAAGCTTTCTACCAGAAGCAAAGAGTGACAGTCACCATGCTTGACATGCAGCTTTCCAAGGGAAACACTCTTGATATGGAAAAGAAGATCGAGCATTTCGAAGTGTGTAGAAGGTCCGGATCTCTCGTATCTTGCTTTTCGTAAATCTTGTTCGTAAACTTGTCAATAAAATGAATAGTTCACGCGGCAGACAGAACGGATCGCAATCCGTATCATTAGTCGGGCTTACATTATTTTTGGAAACGCTCAATCTTGTCCCTTAGATCTGTATAACTGTACATATGTCTGCATTGGACAATACAGAAGACTCTTAGGAGAGGGTCTGGATTCGTGTTCGATCGAGGAGCTCCAACAAACAGAAAACCAGTTGGAAAGAAGTCTCACCAAGATCAGGGCAAGAAAGGTAAATTGTTTCCCTTTGTTCCGACGCCATATTTCATTTCCCATGTTCTTCTGTCCCATTTTTTCCGAACAAAAAAGATCGCCGGTGATTAGCGGTTGATTAAAGCTCGCATTATATCTCATGCAGAACCATTTGATAAAGGAGCAAATTGAGCGGCTAAAAGCAGAGGTAAAAGATCCCTATGACACTGCCTGTGCACATGGACGTGCTTTGTCTTTGATTACTGTCTCCCAGTTGTATGGATTAGTGATTGTTTAACATCTCTCTCGGGACTTTCTATAGGAGCGGAAACTACTTGAAGAAAAGAGAAAGCTACTTGAAGAGGTGATTAATGCTTTTCCTCTCTAGATTATCCTCTTTTATCAATCTAGCTAGACAAACAGAAAATGTTTATTGCATAGATAAGATGTCTGCACCTCGAGTCAATCTGTGGCATCGAATCTGGTTCTCCCGTGTGACGCCGTGTATGCAATTACTAATCAGACAATTCTGTAGATGAGCTCAGTGTAGTCCCGGAGAATGGGGATTTAGTTGGGTTACTCCTCGATATTTCAATACGCATTTTTAAGGTAGGTCCTAGATATTCTTGGTTAAATTTGAATGACTACTGAAAGCATTTTCTCTGGTCCATTGTAGATTGAATGTGGCAGAGGATTGACCCCGGTCTCCAGAGAACCACCTCGTGAAGAAATCCGCACGGAGACTATGGACGTCGAGACCGAGCTGTTTATAGGACCACCAAAAAGATGAACTGCTCTCGTCACCTATACCGTGATTGCTCCAAATAATGACTATAGCACCGGGGAAACGCTTCCTCGGTTGCTCTTTTCTTCTTCGATCTTGAGGCAAAATAAGTTGAGTGAACATGTTCATTAAAGTTTTATTTCATGATGAGTGCGTACTTGCTTATTGTTGCTCGATTGCCTGATAATCTGTATATTAACAAGGCACGTCATTTCCTCTCTCTCTCTCTCTCTCAACACAGACCATGTATCAAATCACTTGCTATTTGAGCATCTTGAAATTCTTGGAATGGTAGAATCCCCGACCGTTCAGCGTTTTTCCTTCCTTTTCCATTAGCATACATAACAACAGAGTCATTCATCTTCAGTCTTCATAGTTGCAGTCACAGTCGACATGATATGATCGAGGTGGCCAAACGTAAGTACAAGCACATGAACCTAGGAAAGCAATACCAAGAAGTAGCGGCTCGACCATGAGGTTCTTCGACAAACCCTGAGTTATTTCATGGCAAGTACCAACGATGTATAGACAGGAAATCAAAACCATTTATCGTCGTTGAAGCTTGACAAGAGGGTTTACATGGAGGGAATTATGAGAACTGTCTGCACAGTGAAAAGTTTAAATCACCCTATAATCCCTATGATAATAATATACAGCTGAAGGGAGTGGTTAACAGGAATACATAACCCCTCCCACTATACATCTGGAACTGAAATTTGATAAATGAAACTAATCGGATGACAAGGACAAGAGACAACATAACCCCTCCCACTATACATCTGGAACTGAAATTGATAAATGAAACTAATCGGATGACAAGGACAAGAGACAACCTAGTCTCTCCTATTCACATCTTATGCTAGAGAGAACCCTGCAAATCCGCCAATTTTCGTGGAATTGCTTTTCTTGGATAATCTTTGCAATCCATGATGTGTAATATGCCATTCTGCATCTTCCAGAGTCAAGGAACTAGAAAGAATGATAAGTCAGACGGAGAGCACACTGTCTGATCACCGAATTGTAGTTCTTCCAAAGAATGAGGACCCAATTTCACTGTCTGTGTTCTGCAACAACAAAAAACGTAGATTAATCGATGTTTGCTAGTGAGAAGAATAGGCCGAACACGAAGTTAGCTAATTAAGAAAGTCTTAGCTAAAGACTAGGTGATACGCCAGGCTTCATGGCACAGTAAAGAGTATATGGGTCAGGGCATGCCAATGGACAGAATTCTTGAATAAGTTAACCTTGTTTTATTGGAGCAACGAAAACGTGTAAATGTGACTATCTGCTAGATTTGGGCCATCAATTCTAGGAACTAATCTGAGGTAGGCTAAGAATAGTTTAACAAGTGCTAAGACAGTACATCAAATTCTGACAAAATCTTAAGAATATAGCCTACCTGGGACTTCGGAGAGGGGAACACGTTCCAAAACCTAAGCGTTTCATCTCCAGCTCCAGTGACAATTGTCTGAATCAGCAATTTAGGAAGAGAAGAAGATATTGCATTAATAAGGTGCGCCCATTCTGGGAATAAAATAACAAAAGTATAAAATAAGATGTGAAGTGTATCACCTGTCCATCTGGTGAAATAGCAAGGTAAAGTACTCTGTATGTATGTCCTGTAAGCGTTGCCAACTACAAAAGGAAAGGGACTCTCAAATATAGAAGAAACTCAGAAACTTGACTAATTGATAATTGGTGTGATTCCATACCTTAGACATGGTGGGATATCTCCAAACTATTATCTGGTTTTGAGAGTAACCATGGGTGCTGACAAGTTCGTTGACATTCTTGGACCACACAAGGTTGCATACCTGTGAGAGGTGACAAGACACAAGGGAGTAAATTCTCTTTTTCTGTGTGCAAGAGGCCATTCTACAATGTAAACCCTTATACAATAGCAAAGAAATCAAATTCTGTTTCCACATTACATAAGAAATTTGATAAACTAAATGACCCATATTCAGATCTACAAGAATCAATCATAACCAACAGGAAGACAGCAGTCCACAACCAAGAAGAAAGAGACATGGCAAAGGCAGATAAGTAAAAGCACAAACCTACAACTAAAACCACACAGTCATCCACATGAAGTTAGCTAACACAAACAGGCAGGTGACCAAATGACAATGCAAGAATAGCATGTAAAAGCATGTCTAACCTGGCTGCCAGTGTCAATACAGCTGAGTTGTGAGTTAGTGGTTGTATTCCAGAAACGAATACAACGATCTGCAGTACCACCGCCAGATGCAAGAAGTCCATGAAGATGCGGAGACCAAGCAATTGCTTTTACAGCTGCTGTGTGCTCACTGTACTTAAGCACAGGTTGTGTTGAATGTTGATTCCACACAAAAAGCTGTAAAGGAGACCAGCAGGTAAATGTAATGTAGCTCAAACAGAAGAAAGCCAAATCACCACAAAAAAGTGACAAGAAAGAAAGACAAAAGAAAAAAGCAATAACTCACTCTGTTATCATTTCCACCAGATGCTAGTTCACGGTTATCGTAAGACCATTTAAGTCCACACACCTACATCAGAAAAGAATAATCAGGCAGACTGAAATTTTTTCTGTCTAGTCAGTCTATTACAGTGTAAAAAAACCCAAAGGTTTTTGCCTCTTATATTGGTGGTATCTTGCACTTCTGATAGCAGGCTTATAATAGAAAATAGAAAAAGAAAAGAGGTTTCATATACTCCAAACTATGTCCATAAGTACAATAGACTTAATTGATCTCAACTTCTGAATGTATAAAAATCTGACCTCTGACTTATGTCCTGCAAGTTTACTGACAAAATCATCCTGTGCACGTACATCTCTTTGAAGAATACTCTTGTCCCTGCTACCAGAAGACAGCAGTGATGAACTCCAAGCTAAGGCGCCAACCCTTAATCGGTGGCCTTCCATAGTTCTGACCCTCCTGCAGCGTGATGCATCCCATACCTATGCAGAAGTCGTTATAAAATTACAAAAGCGAAAATACTAGTCTGTCCTAGTGGAACAGGTTATGAAGCAAAAAACTAATCATGAGAGAAACCAATTTACAATAAAACAAAGGGAGTCATCCAGTTATTCCGTTGATAATGGAAAGAATTAAGGAGACTCACTAATTTAAACTATCATTCCATTGAACAAGAGAAAATTCTGTTTGATGCATTTAGACAATTGAATGAATGGCAAAAATATGTGACTCACTTATCTACCAGTAAATCATCTCAGCAAAAAGCCTCTCGTATGTTCTAGTCAGTCACATAGACCGTGAGATGAATTTTTCCTAACTTGATAAGAGCTTAAATGACTACTGCAGAATCCTATAGTGTTCCTTTCAAGAGCAGCTGAACTGGACAATAATCAAAGCTGTCGCCATCCTTTTCCTTCTATTTTCTGGCAGCACGTCTGTCATCGCTAAAAAGTTTTTTGTATCTGCCTCAGCAGAATCCGCCAACCTTATGGGATTGTACTCAAAATATGACAATCAGTCAAAGAATGACGGAATCTACTAGCTGGTATATACGAAACATCTGGGTCATTGAATGGACTCAATATCCATCACATCCTAAGCAGCAATGCATTTCTTTGCACTTCTGAAGTTCTACCAACTCCAGTGTAATTAATGCCATGAAAAAAGGCAAAGCCAAACAATAAGCCGAGGTAAACTATTGCCAGTACAAGAAAACGGAGCAAGCACTCTTTCCTTGCTACAGCTTCTTGTTGGAGTGATAGCATCAGTTTATCCAAACTACTCATGCCTTGCATCTCTATATTGCTATAATATTTAGTTGTTCAATTACAATAGCTTCATTATAGTTACTTTTTGCGAGGTTTTCAAACTGTATTAGCAACAATAGCAAAGTGCAAGGTAGACTGATAGAGAGAATTCAATTATGGGCATGACATTGAGGTTCTGGTGAACACCTCAAACGAAACTATACACTCTTGGAAGAATCTAATCAATGCCGATTGCATCAATCATCTCAAAGAAACATGCGCACGTTTGATAAATGCTTTCTATATGAGTGCTTCCCGTTCATTTGGTTTTGAAAATCCATCTAATTCTCACAAGTTTCATGCTCCTTTGTCCATAAAGTATGCCCAGCTAAAGCGTTAACACAATTAACACGTGGTACTGGTACCGGAGACCAAAGTTATATTTCTGATAACTCTGCTGGCCTCTGGAGCTAGATGTAAGGTTTGGTTAGAGTATCATTGACAGCAATATACAAGCTCAACAACTACAAGTACATGGAGTTAGATAGCTAGAAAGACTTGAAGTCCCTGTTAAGCCCGAAAAAGAAGATGAAGGATCCTATCCAGATCAATGGGATAAATCTTAAAAACCAAGTCAGACTAAAGGCAAAGTCCATCCTGCAAGCCCAGCATCTTTGTTGGAGGTCCAGCGTAGCACCCATCCTACAACTGATTGAGCTAGTTAAAACCACTAAAGCACATGCTAAATCCATCCCTCAAACTCCACCTACTCATGAGTCTATTGCAGAAACAAATGCAAGCTCCCAAAATTTGACTGACCAACAGCAAGCTAAGCCACTAAAATTCCCAGCCCTTCCAATTAAGCAGAAGAAAGTTTCAGAAAGCAGAGAGTTCTAACCTGGAGTTTTCCATTGCTAGTTCCGACTGCAAGATGTGTACCGCGCTGTGCCCAACCAACCGAGCAAACACTATCATCAATCCCTAAGTCACATAACTTAGTCACCTGCGAGAACATACACGTGAAGTAAGGACACACCCTAATCGACAAACAACAACTTGGAGCCCATTATGACGGCAGGATCCGAACTTAATAGAGGGATTATCAACACAGTTCAAGAGAATGTGTGAAGACTCACCTTGCTGCTGCAAGCATTCCATAGATAGACACAATTCCCCAACCCCACGGCCAACACATTATGCGAAGACCAGTCCACAAGATTCAAGTAAAAATCATCCTGCAATGCAGGCGCATCCAATACCTAAAAGAACAAACACACAATCATCAAAAGTCAATCCAAGAAACTCAAAATCTCCCGCTCCAAAACGAGGTTCTTTCCACAAATCCATGAACTACAACTAGCAATTTTCCGTGTGAATAGATAATCCTCCGTGGTTTCGTCCATACCCTCCTTTGTTTATTGCCAAAGTAACTACCGTAACAAGTTTCCTAGTCACACCATACTGAATCACAAGAAGGGCCCCTCCAAGAACCAATCAAGAAAGCTCCCTCACCTTGTACGGCGACCTCGGGACCTTCCTCGCGGCCTTCACGGGGCTCTGGCTAACCACATTCCCCGCGTCCTCGAACCCAAAAGGCGAGAGCGCGTGCAGCGACCGCTTCGTCTCGGTCTTGTACCGGAAGATATTCCGCCCCACCGCCGGGGACTCCTTCCTCTCCGGGGTGTCGGGGCCGAACAGCGCCGCGCGGAGTAGCGCATTGTACGCGGACGACGAGGCCTCCTCCTTGCTCTCCGCCGCCGCCGCCGGAGACGAGGAGGAGGAAGAAGAGCTGGAGGAAGAGGAGGAGGAGGAGCTGGCCGCCGACCGCGGCGAGGGCGAGGGCTGTATGCCGAAGAAGGCGAAGTTGGAGCCGGATCGGCTGGGGATGAACCTGTCGGAGTAGATGGCCCGCGACGGGGACTGGCTGTGGGCAGAGTTGATCATGCGGCTCACGTGGTCGGAGTGGGGGGGAGGAGGAGGAGGAGGAGGGGCTAGGGTCTCGAGGGCGAGGGCGCCGCGGGCCATGGCGGGGGGCAGGTTGAGCTGCGCGCGCGGCTGCGACGGCGGTGCAGAGCCGCCGTCCATGGAGGATTCGATGCGAAAGAGAGAGACGCGGGCGAGGAGGAGGAGCGGCGGTGGAGATTCTTGATTCTTGGCGATTGACGGTGGAGTTGTCGCGGTTTCTTGGTGGATTGGTGGTGATGGGAGTGTTAAAAATTTCGTCTTTTTTCTCGCTCTCTTTCCCGGGAAAAAGTAGGTTTTTCTTGCGCCAAATCTGGTGGGGGCGAGATCTGGGAAATTCGGATGCCGACCGGGGGCAGAAACGTCTTTCCGCAGGACCTCGGAGGCAGCTTACGACGTCGGGTTTTGTCGTGGCGGTACCTGGATTTCCTCGAGCACATGGTGGGACGTCTCTTTGTACCGGTAAAATACTCGTGCTTTTTTTTATTATTATATAAAAATACATGCGTATATACGATTTTTCCAACAATACTTCTTGCGAAATAATTGTTCCTTCTTTTGGAGCGAGTAGAATTATACGCATCTAGAACGCATGCCGCGTTATATTTTTAGTAAAATATTTCGCTTTTGAACTCGCTCTCTTTGTATTCTTTTCCGATCGGTCGAAATGTATCTGGTTTTGTTGCGACTCCTTGTCGGAAACACGGATTGGGTAGCGAAAATTTCCATTATTAGATGAGAAGTTTCTACAAGTTTTTTGTACTATAAATAAACCTGTCATAAAACGGAAGCATAACTTTCTATAATGCAATTGCTGTAAAATCGCGATAATATCGTCTTGAGGAAAACGACGGTATGTATTCGTCCGTATCCCAAACAGCATAATTTTATACCGTACATTACTAATAGAGCTCCTGATGGATGGATGAATATACGGATTACTTGATTGGCAATTATTAGCACCATAAACTACCAACCCCATTTAGGAAGTCACCGAACATAATCACAAGTTCCCGTGACGTAAAACTTTTGGACTTGAACAGATCTTTCAAAGGTTTCATCTCGGTTCTCATCTAGATTTCGGGATCTGATAAAAAATTTAAAGGGTATTTCCTCTCTTTGGAGAAAACAAAAATAAAGAAGGGAATTAGAGGGGCAAAGCGAGCAAGCACCAGCATGTTAAAATAAAAAACGAAAATTCTGTCGAAGCTTCGGCTTCCTCTCTTTGATGAGGTAACTCTTAACCGAACACTAATGCGGTTTATGAAGTTACCAAACATATTCACAAGTTCTCATAACGTAAAACTTCGTTGGCTTTGATGATTGACCATTAAAGTTCTGTTGGATCGCATTTGGAATCCTTGCTGTTCTTGGGGAAGTCCAGTCCGTTGATGTTCTTACATTAATTTCTGTTGTAGTCGAGTTCTCAGATTATCTCTTGACGACAGCTGAGTTCTTTCATCAGATTATCGTTCAGAATTCGACGAAAAAGGTTTTTTGATGTCGACGACGGAGCCTTGTGCTCAGACACATGCTGCACAGTAGAAATGAGCATCGACTCGACGTTTACGTCGGGTTCGGAGTGGAACGCAACGACGAACACTTCGATATTCATCGATGAATGGTACACGGGCCGGTATCGTCACAAAACCAAATACCGAGGCTAAGATCGATCGCCTTTAAAAAGCATGGAGATCGATGTGTAATCTTTTATTTACAGATTTTGTACATGCAGTAGCAGTAGCACGAAATTCATGTAAGTATGTCTTCACTTCGACGTCAAATACAATGATAAATGTTGAATGGGTGCACTCAATCTGCAGTTTCTTATATGTGGAATTGACGAAGTCAATGCCATTCAGAGCATTATGGTAATTTTGGGTGTTGTTGCTAAGTCCAGATGACATTTTCCAGCATGGGCTATGCAAATCATCTATTAGAATACTTTTCAATAAGAACCATAATTAGTATTCTCGGGTATAAATCCGAGAAAGCCTCGACGATCGACCCATTGGCCATGAATCGATGCATGGCAGATCAAAATAGTATCTCAGGAAACTTCTTCACACCAGAAGACTTCAGAATGAAAGATCCGTTATGTCAACAAGAGTGTGCGATTATTTGGACTGCGAATGCAAGGCGCAGCTCGCTACTTTGTCACGCTCTTGCCGAGCATTCGTTCTGATCTACGCCTTTCTTGTCATGACAAGCCTACCCGGTGACTAGCTCGGGTCGTCGAAATCTCTGCGACACATCCCCCACTAATTCACCAAACTGCACAGAACAGTCGCAATCCCAGGTCACCTGGTTCATGAATTTGCTGAAACATGATGTATGTATTAATAGCATATGATGTGTCTGGAGATCAGGAGAAGAAAAAACAGTCTGGGCTTAATCTCGCCATGCTAACAGATAGACAACAAAAACGATAAATAACAAAAACAAAGTAGCAATGACTAGAATCAATTGCTCCCCAGAGACGTGAAGCAGGAAGGGTAAGAGACTATCCCTCCCCAAATTTCAGACGACAAAAGGTCGATGAATACATTCAGCTCAAGAAACAGAGCTTTTTTTTCCTCTCTTTGTTCACACAGTACACGGGACCGCCTGCGAAAATTTGAGCTCCGGCTTCCAAAAATTCTCTTAGCACCTTCCTATTTTGTTGTCAGCTGATCAATTTTACAAAGAAGCAATAGCTATGGGTATCTGGCAATGTCTGAAATTTCGAACTTTTGATCAAGAAGGAAAAGGAGCATACTCATGCTCAATGATGGGCACAGTCCTGGTGACAGCAGCAGTTGGTGCTCTTACATGGCCAACCATTGAAACTTGCAGTGCCTCTTCCTCATAAGCCCTCCTCTCCATCTCTTCCCGCTTTGATTTCTTCTTTGCCTTCACAAACAATGCCACGAGAAGCAGGCTGAGCAGGAACACCCCCAGCATGGACCCAATCGATCCCCCGACCGCCACCTTCCATTTGCTCACTTGCTTCCTCATCTGCACTGGCGGCAGCTCGGTCACCAGCCCGAAGTGGCCATGCCTTGTGGCCAAACAGACGGAAGGCGCGACCTGATTGGCCAATGTCAGCTTCCCATTGGATTCGAAGTTGGCACACATCGGCACGACTCTGGGCCTGTGATCCGGCGTGGCAATGCCAGTGAAGTTCACTGTGATGGGTTTCTCTCCAGCTGTGATACCAAGCTCGAACGCCGCATCAGCGGTGTTGGAATTTCCGTGGCTACCGGCATTGTAAGCTAAGAGGCCTAACACTGGAGAAACTAGCTGGTACCCAGATAAGTCATAGTTGGAGTAATATATGGAAGACCAGTTGTTTTGCAAGATTTGCCTGATCAGCATGACTCTTTCCACACATGGTTGGACCGTCACTCCGATGCCCAAGTGGAATTCTTTCACATGTGCGCCATACCGGCGTAAGCTGCCGCACCGGAACTTCACGGTGTCAACTCGGATGCCTGAGAGGTTCTTTGGCAGGTTCACGGTGTGTATCACTCCGGTCTTGATCTGCTGGCTGCTGGATTTAAACGTGTAGTCACGGATCAGAAGATCGAGGACACGCGCCGATTTAATCTCTTGAGCGAGGACTTTTTGTGGTGAAGCTAATGCCAGGACAAGAAGCAAGAAATTGAGAGAAGAACGAGAGCCCATCATATGATGAGAGACTGCTAAAAAAGAGTGTTAGATTCTTCTGCTTCTAAAATTAGTATGTGATCACTGATCACTTATCAGTACTGGTGCAGCGGTGCTAGAACAGGTCCAGAAAACCTTCTCAGAGTCAACTTCTTCTGTAGATATAGATAGAAGGAGAGAAGTTGCAAAGAGAAAAGAGCCTGCACTGGTTGAGGGAAATAATGCAGAAACACTTGGTTGATTGAAAGTGAAGCAAGTCAAGAGAAAAGAAACAGAAAAAGTCTGAATCTTGTTTTGGATAGACAGAAAAGACAGGCATGTTTTCTCATTAGGTCGAAGTTAGAAGGTTTGATCTGACAGGGTCCTACCTTCTCCTTACAGGGAGAGGATGGATGAATGAATCAGCTGGTAATTGGCAAGTTTTTTTTTTTTTGGCATTGGAGGTTCTTAAAAAGTAGGTGTCACCACCACACTACCTTCATTATGCAGATTGCGTTTTCTCAGCAACTTTTCCAGGAAAGTAAAAAGCTCTGTACAGTTTTTTCTTTCTCCAGTTGTTAAAGGTCACACCTTTTACCTCACTGCATGATGCAGTCATTTGCTTCTCTCATGGGTAGCTTGAGTTCTTCTCAATCATGGACCTTTTTCTTGCAAGGTGAAGTTTCTGCAGGGACAAATCTTTACTTTGTCTAAAGAATTCCCAGAAAGAAGAAAAAAGAAGGAATTTTCAAATTTGGGGTTAGTGGAGCATGTTGAGAGCAATGATTGGGAAGGTGGGTAGATGATGAAAGTTCATATGATCAAGAAAAAATTGGAAACCAAAGAGAAAGAGTTTTGGCATGCTTAAGGAAAAGGTAGGAGACCACACTTCATATGTAGTTGATAAAAATGTTCCCCACTACACCAACCTTTGTGGGTCTCATGTTGCCTCGCATGGCCCTTCCAATTGGCTCCTGTTCAGGAGACCCAAAAGTTTCACATTTATGTCTAACATCGAAGTAGTAATATTGTCAGTCATCCGAAAGTTCTTATTCAGTGATCTCTTTCCATCAAACTTGTTTTACACAGCAAGGAGGATAGTTAGAATAATTTTGCCGGAGCGAGATGATGAATTTGCCAAGAGGACATCTGAAAGAAGTGTTCAAGTTATGGAGTCATCAAATGGATTCTCTTTCCCAGTTAAACCCCTCCATCAAGCAGTACACATGCTTATAGAAACTATTACAGACAGATAGTAAGTCTCCTTTGACATAACAAAAATTACAAAGCTGGCCGCGCAAAATCCCTTCGGCGACCGACTGCTCCAGGAAAAGAAAGATGAGGGAGGGATTAGATTAAAAAAGAGAAAAAGAAAGAAAGAAAAGTAGCAAAGGGGGCATATAATTAATATTGACTCTCTCTCTCTCTCTCTAGTGGAAATTGACAGCGGCTTGGTAAGTCAGCCCTACGTTCCAGTTGGAAGGAGCAACGTTGTAGGCAATGATGGTCTCTTTGGTGGTGTAGGAGGTGAGCTTGAAGGAGAGAGATTGGCCTCCAAGGCTTGCAAAGGCTTGGTACGAAGCACCCCAGTTGTGGCTCATGCTCACCCAATCTGTCTCGCTTCCTTTGACCCACATGCTCGCGATGTCACCCCCTCCTCCCACATTCATCACGTATACCAAGAGCCAGTAACCATTCCCTTGGAACTGGAATCTGATCCCTCCTTGCTCTATGCAGGGTACCCTGCAATTATTTCCACAGTTTTTCCTTTAGTTATTATAAGCCGTAAATGGATTCGGATATGACACCTCGGTCGGGTATTGAGTGCGGCCCAAGTGCGAATTGTCACATGCGTGTCATCAAGAGTTCATTATAACTACAAGCTGTGTATAATTCTTGCCATGCACTAAGGAGAGGCTAGAAAAATGTTCGCGTGTACCTTCTATACATGACGGGGACTATGCCGGCCTTCCACTGAGCGATGTTCATGAAGGCAGGCATGGACATGTCGAAATGGACGCGGGGTGGGTTGCACCACCCGCCGTTGTTGGAGTCCTCGGACCAGTTGGGGGGGCAGAGGTTGGTGGCCGTGACTGTGGTGAAAGGCGAACCGCTGAAGCACCAGGGCGACTGTACGCACTTGATCTGATAGCATGTCCCGCAGGCGTACCCGTCGTTGAAAAGGGTCGAGCTCAGCGCCACCGTCGCGGTGCCGTACCCGTTGCTGAACAAGTTCCCATACCCGCATGCCCCTCCTGGAAATTGGAAATGAAGGCATGGTTGATTTATATAATGCATTATGTACTTCATGTTATATACTCTGAAATCACATACAAAAATACTTGAATACTCGACCAGAGAGGATGGACACAACAAAGAAGGCCATTGCAAAAAGGCAATACAATCTATAAAAGCAACTAATTAAAATTGTGGTCACATGAACAACAAGCGTACCCATAGTCTCGGAGGCAGTCTCGTCCCCATAGAAAGTGGCATGAGCAAGAGACCATTGGGTAGGTTGAAACTTCATAGAGCTAGGAGAATACCCACCACCCATAACTGAACCATATTCACCTACAACAGTTGCAAGTATCAATGCCAAAGACCATAAATTCAATGAGCGAATCAAAGAAGCCATGGATGGTTTGTTCTTGCTGATTCTTGGGCTCCACACAAAGCTTCCCACCAAGAATAAAGTAAAGCTCACAAACACATAACCCAATTTCAGTGGTGCCCTCTTATATATTTGGTTCTACGCAAGGTGTAGAGAAAGAAAGTGTCGAACTTCGTGATGCCCACGAAGATAATTGGCCTCATGTATTTAAGTCAAAAGGAAGCCGGTTAAATATAACCGAATGTGGTTTTGGGCTATGGTACTTAGAATATTGATTGTTTGGAGTCAACTATTTGATGGTTTAGACTTATATGGGTTTGGTAGATTTTGGGATAGAAAGGAGATAGCAAACGTGCGTGGCTCAATGTAATCTTGGTCGAGGGCCTTAAGGCGTGGTCGCAAGTTTTCTATAATGAATATGTTTAGGGTGCGAGAAGGGGCAAAAATTAGGAACATGATCAGAACCCCAAAAAGAAAGTTTCAAAGTTGCTATTAGTATTTCTTAGCTTATGCTCAAGCAACAGAAAGTGAATGTATCCTATAACGTGGCAATTGCTTAAATTGTTCAGCTTTTCAAGTGGTTTTCGATACTGAATCACAAGTCTCCAACGCCGAAAGCCGGGAACTAGAAAGAGAAATCATTGTCGAAAAGTAGAAGCTAGTTATTCGGCCACAGCCACCAGTTAGGACGGGACTACGCTGTTCTCATCAACTATTGTTGGCTTCATCTAGGTTTCCATATCTTGATAAAATTTGATCTCTGACAGAAGATTGAGTAGCAGTCAAATTCTTTACTCTCTTCTCAGAACTTCATCGTGATTAGACAAAGACATGCTAATAAGAAAGGGAAACCCAAAGCTGAAGTTCAAGAACCTTCCTGTAATCTGCACAAAGTGCAATGTAACAAAGCTACTACTGTGTACCGAAGTCCCAAAGAGAAAGCAAGAAGTTGAAGCATTATTATGGCAAACTGTGGCTGAATTATGAAAACTTTTAGTTACATGATCTTTCATCCACAAGAACATTTGTACGCTCTTTTCTCAATACTAATTAAGATGCTGTCATGGGTATTTACTGGCAGCATGTAACTGGAATTCCAAAGTATTAACATCACTTGCAATTGATTATTGTTATATAAACAGATGTTGTACAACCGTCTTGTTTCCTTCTCCTCAAAACCAAGGTCATGACGCAGCAGCAATTTTCTCGGCATGTCATAACATGGTACATGTTGAATGCGAATCTCACATTGGCACATTCCTCTTGTACATCTGAGAAATAATTAACCCTGCACAATAATGAGGGAATCGGAACTCATGAGCACTACTATCTGATTTTGATGCAAAAAGGAATGACAATGAAGAATGAGCGGGTGGGTTCGGGAGGCTCTGTGATGACATTACAGTGCGGACTTCCCTCAGAAAACCTGACAGGGAATAAATGAAAAGCTTGGGCGCTTAAGTTATATACCTCTCATCAAGCTTGGCTTCCATCGGGCAATGTAATCAACCGGGTTTTCGAGTCATACACCAATTCAGTTCTGCAGCTGAAGCAAAAAGGGATAAATTAAAATGCCAGTACGGATCATAGAGAACTAGTAATATCTTAATCAGAAAAACAGTGGAGAATTGATTGAAAGATGCAGTAAAAAAATGCCTCAGGTCGAGAGAATTTCTTCTCACTTTGAGCATTTGATATTGTTAGTTGTACCACCGCTAGAGATGGACAATATGGTGCCAAAGAAGGAGACATTCTCCGTGCCGCAGTTGGGGCAAGCACCCTGTAATTTTCGATAATCTTTAAGTACAGTTCCACTATAAAGATTGCTGAAAATGTAAGTGATAAATTATGATGAAGCCTGACCTTTAAGATGAGCGAATCCTTCACAATCACATTCGTCAGCGATAGAGCCAGCCAAACTAGGAGAGGCACAGCCGCGAACCATGTGAAAATGAAACTAAACGGCTCTGGCAGCTGGAGGAGTGAAGAAAAAAGTATGTAATATGGAGTCACAACATGGAAGCTGTGAGATATCGAATATCAAGCTCTTGCGAACGGAAAAATAATCGAGACGTGCGAACTACAAGTCCACAAAAGCAAGCAGCTATTTCAAAAGTTCAACAGCTAGAAAGAAAAAGGGACAAAAAGAAACAATTCCTGATTACCTCCAAAAGATATGTAATCTCAAATCCAGTTATATCATCCAGGAAGAAGAACCTTAAAGACCACAAAAGAGCAGGTTAGGAGGAAAATGAACTTGGTTGGCAAAAAGGTAATAGCGTGAAATGATCTTCAGGTTACAAACAAATGTTGGTGAAACGAAATTCTACTTACAGTCCTAGCGCAATAACAGTTGCTGGGACATTCAACAGAAGCATCTTGAAGTAATCAACAGAAAGGTCACTGTAGACCTATCATGGGAGGATTAATCAGTAATGTCTGAGCCTATTGGAGGAATAAATAGACCGAGTACTCAAAAAGGAGAGAGACAGAAAAAAAAACAAACCTTTCGGCTGCGGAGACTGCATCGTGGGCCTTCGACAACAATTTCGCTCCCGTCAATCTACAAAAATCAGAGGTGATGAAGCACATATTTTATTGGAAGGACAAGAAGGAAGGATACAGCACATGAAGTTTTGCTTAATCTCGATTATCACCCCAACATGTGGCTTTTGTTGAATAAGCAGGCAAGTTTCGCATTCCTCACACAGTACATGGTCCAAACAGGTATATAACATATTGTCTGTGGTATGGATGTTCATATTTCTATTTCGAGCAAGATGGTGCAGATGCTAATTGAATGAGGCTACGTCAATGGCTTGTCAGATATGCTGCACTGGTTCTCTCGCTCAATGTGCAATCTTAATGGCTATCTATCCTCAGAAACAGAGAAGCTGATGTTACTAGCATCTACAATCGCATTGCAAACTGAGAAATATGATAGCGACCTTTAGTCTCAATTTCAGGTCGTCATATTCTTGATCATTCATAATTGGATTGCCAGACACGTAGGCCATTGAAGCTTCCAAAAATTTTTGCTCATCAGAAGCTGCATTACACGTGATGCGAAGAAGTCAGAGAAAGTGCATCCGATAGATTTTGACAAACAATATGATGGTTATGCAACAGTTGAAATGTTTCGCTCAATCATTCATTTCGGAGTATACTTAGCATGACAACGCTGCTTCCTTCCCACATGAGCTCTTCCTTGAGATTGTCGAATTCCTCATTCGACATGATCGCTTTCCCTTCATAGTAAAATGACTGTATAACAGCAAATAGTGTATGTATCCGGTGAAACAATGCATACCATATAAAATAGGTCTCACAGAGATAAAAAAAGAAAATTAAAGGTACTCGGATTCTTCCGTACTTGTAATGCTTGAAGAAAATCTTGTTCAAGTTCACCGATGGACTTCTTCTCTTTCTTGTCTATGCTGCAATATGGCAGAATTTTGCTATCTTCTACATCGGATTCTCCCTCTTCTACCTTGCCTGAGAATGCACAAAAGTCAAAACGAGAGCCTATCAACCATAATCAGACATTGCCAAGCTAAAATTTATCTACGCCCTGGAAGCCTTTATCATCCTGATTGACTCACGGTGACTCCAGTTTCAGCAAACATGATTTTCTAGGATGAGACAGAACAAACTAGCCAATATGTTGATCTCAGAAATTTATCAGATCATGAGGACTTAATTAATTCACTTTCGCTAATCTCTAAAAGTGTGCGACCAATTGCTCCAGAAAACTTATGACAGCAGACAATGGGGCGATTTGCATCATCTACATCAGCTATCCGACTTCTAAACGGAAAGCAAAATGAGTCCACATCCTAGAACTCTGATGGAAAGCCTCACGGCTCCTATTTTCGGCATGATCCCGACTAAATTTGTCGCGGGCAAAAATTTTCGAACAGTTGTATCAGTAAATCACACTACAACTCTCAAAATACTCAGGCACAAAATCACGTCATGGGAAAAAGGAGTCTATGACCATACCGACCTTGTTGATCAGCAGTAGCCTTCATGGCGATCACGAGCACTCGCCGCCAGACCCACAACTGCCGTCCATCGAATGCTCGGACCCTCGGAGAGGAAGAAGAACACGATGCCGCCGCTCTGGGGACGGAGAGCGCCAAAGGAACCGAGGGCTTCCTAGCGGGCTTAGCAAACAGACGATGGCATGTCAGGGTAGCCCCCAACTTGGTGGTCGCCATGTTCCGATACCAATCAAGGGAGAAGCTCGGCTTGTATATGGTGTGAAGCGAAGAAACTGAACAGACAAGGTAGATTAGTGTTAATTGATGGCCGATTCATTTGGGTGATTTTGCTTTTTTCCCTGGTTTTCTTTATCTTTTTTCGTGCTTCTTGAGCTGATGTTTGGAGGGAAAGCGAGACAGATTGTAAAGATAAGGTGGTGGAGCAACGTGTGGAGGTAAATGCAACGGCACTTTGTCCCTTTGCCTTCAAAAGACCAAACGGTAATTTTCAGTTAACCTCGGGCTGCCATGTCTTCACGTTGGGTGCTCCACGTTTGTGATTTTAAAGAATCTGGAATTCGATTGGAGGAGGACACGTGGACAGATGTCATTGACCACGTCCATCAACCGGACGACACCTGGATCAACGTGTGATAGGCCTCTTTATGTGCAAAGGAAAAAAGAAAGTGAAAAATCCTAAAATTTGTCAAAAAAGTTCTATTAATTCTTATAACCTGTAAAAAACGCAATCAAGCCTTATAACTTATCAAATTTATGTAATAGAGTTCCTTCGTTAACTCCGTCCAACTAAGCTAACGGAAAATGCTGATGTAGCTTTTTAAAATATTTTCTTTCTCCTACGTGGCGATGACGTGGGTAATCATGAGACATAAAGCTAAAATGACATCGTTTTGGCTCAAATCTAATTTTTAATATAAATTTTATTTAAATTCAATTTGAAAATAAACAAGGTTCGTTGCTCTACCCTCACCTAGAAGGCCGGCGACCCTCGCTAACCGGAAGGTTGCGACCCTCCCTAGATTGGGCGAGGGTCGCTGGCCATCCCCCACCTTTGCAAGGGGCGGCAGTGGCGAGAGCTACAACCCTCACCACTGTCTCCCTCCCCCATTTTTTTATAAAAATTTAGCTTATTTTTTAAATTGAATTTAAATAAAATTAATATTAAAAATTAGATTTAGGCAAAAAATGATGTTGTTTTAGCCATGTCATTACTACGTAGGTTAGAGAAAATAATAAATAAAATCACGTCAGCATTTTCTGTTTATCAAAATTGGATAGAGTTAACGAAATGATTCAATTGAACCAATTTGACAAGATTGAGAATTTGATTGCATTTTTTACAAGTTTTAGAACTTAATTGTACTTTCATGATAAGTTTTAGATCTTGCAATACACATATCCCAAAAGGAAAAGAATTCAAAATAGATTTTAAACTCTTGGGTTGTGCTTAAAATCTCAATAGAAGCATGATACCTATTTAATTTGATCGAAAAGTGTAAAACTTTGATATATTATAAATTAGCATTTTATATAACACATTAATTTTTTATTAAGCTCGCAAGCGACTTGAATTTAGTATCGGTAGACTTAAGCTGCTCAAGCAGTTTGGGCTCGATTTGATCTTAGATCCTACGTGCAATATTGGTCTTGGTAGCATCCATGGGCCTTCTGCCACCCCCCCCCCCCCCCCCAAAAAAAAAAAAAAAAAAGCATACATGGGCCTTCTTCCCCAAAAAAATGGAAAGCATACATGGGCCTATATATATAGAGCAATATGTTTTTTTTTTGGTAAGGAGTATGGAGCAATATGTTTGAATTCTCAAAAGAGAGAATCTTTTTTTTTTTTTGGTTCCTCTAATTCCAAATACGGATACGAAATCTCCTCATTTTCTCAAATAAAAGCATGAAGTGAACCTTGTTTCAATTGGGGGCCTGAAATGCCGTCATTTTCTCAAATGAAAAAGTAAAGGACGAAAAAACTCTTGACCAGCCAATGAGGTCAAATTCTTTTTTGAGACTGATATTGAAAAAAGGTTCACTCCAGGTCCTTATTTAAGAAAATAACGGCACTTTAAGCCCCTAATTGAAACAATATACAAGCCATTATTTGAGAAAATAATGACACTAATTGGAATTTTCCCATAGTTTTTTGCAATTAAGTCCACAGATTTGTGATTTGTACAATCAATGTCAATTAACTTACACAATTAATGCAATCAAATTGTTCGTTGTTAGCACACCTAATTATATTTATGTGGTTGCAAATGTGTCAACATCGAATATTAAAAAAGTGGAAAAGAATAAATAGATTATCCTTGAATTGTGAACGTGATACATGATTAGAATAAGAATGATAAAATTTATCCAAAAAATCATAAACCGATTATACGGTAGCCTTTCAGTTCTAAACTTTCAACTGTGTCAATTTAGTCATAAACCTTTTGACAACTTGCCAATTTAGTCTTAAACCTTTCAATTGTACCAACTTAGTCATAAACATTTTGATGATTTGTCAATTTAGTCATAAATCTTTTAACAATTTGCTAATTTTGGTTAGAAATCACTAACGTGGCGATCTAGTCAGTACCTGCCATACCTGGCCATTCTACATGGCACGGGCAGTGTTAATGTGAACAATTTTTATAAATTTTTTTAATTTTGTGATTTTTTTTCTTTTTCTTTATTAATTTTCTTTTCCCCTTTTTCCCTCCGCCGGCCCTCACAAGGCCCACAAAGGTGACCCTTGCCTAGACTAGTCTCGCCCAGGCTAAGGCTACCCTCGGCCGCTGGCCATCGATGACTCCCGACAGAGGGAAAAAGAAAAAATAACAAAAGAGAAAAGGCAAAAAAATAAAAAAAATTACAAAATTACAAAAATTGGCCACGTCAATGCCAACCGTGCGATGTAGGACAACCAAAGCTTACTAGATGGCCTCGTTGGCGATTTCCAGTCAAAATTGATAGAGATGATTAAATTGACAAATCGTCAAAATGTTTAGGACTAAATTGACAAATCATTAAAATGTTTAGAACTAAATTGATACAATTAAAAAGTTTAATACTTAATTGACAAGTTGTGAAAATGTTTATGACTAAACTGGCATAATTGAAAAGTTTAAAATTGAATTGATCGCTGTACAATAGATTTATGGCTTTTTGGATATTTTTTTTCCGAAAAAGAATAGAACTTGAGTACAGCTATGATCCGTATCGGTCGAGGTTCGGTGACTTAATTACAAAAGCCGCTAGAATCTATCACCTATGATCTTACATCTCTTTATTGAAAGACTTTCTTACTCCTGTAGCACCGGCCATCTTAAGTTCCCGTGAGCGTACGGCGATAGACTGTCTAGGATCCTATCGGTCGCTCTAAAAAATATCCGGGGCCATCCCGGTGATGTAGGCGTAGGAACAAGAAACGTAGAATTGACAGTTTCTCAAAGCTCCTCCGAGGTCAACTTTACTTGCCCACGTCCTTTTGTTGCACCCACCTCAACCAGACTGGTTTGGTTTCCTTCGTCGGACTTGCGGATGAGAGATTCTTACGTTGTTTTTTTGTTTTTTTCCTATATTTTTCTAGTTTCTCGTCACCACATTCTTTTTGAGTCTAAACTTGTCACCATATTGTTGAAATTCAAGATTCCGGATATTGTAATGCTGTCTTCCCCACGTATCTATATTCAGGTGTTTCGGATGGAAAGAGACCGAGTCTCTTCCCCAGCTTCTTGCAGGGAAAACAGTGTTCTCGGCCCATAGATTAGCTCTTTAAAATTGAACTCTTTCTTTTTTATTTTATTTTGACTTCTGCAGATTGTATTGATGAAGGGCTTATCTATTGAAACCGACCCTTTTCCCCATGCACACTGCCAACATGTTCTAGGGTTCGAGCCTACAGAAAGAAAAACTGCTGCCTTATGCCCCTTGTTTTCATTCCAATGCTTCGGCGAAAGAGGGAGGGACGGATGTGGTTGGTGACTCGTGCTCTACATCTCTCGGTCAGCTCACCTGCCTCGTAAGAGTTCCGAACTTTCTGGCCAAGCAAAGGTGTGGTCATGGGAATGACAGGGAACACATGAACGTCATGTCTAAATTTGCTTCCAAAATTTCAGTGGCTGCTATGATTGCGAAGTTCCATATGGAAACGAAACGAAATTTAATGCATTGTGGTACCATCTCGTCGTAGAGTTTCGTTTTCGGGGAGAATGAAAAAGGGGAACCTGCCATATATATATATATATATATAAATTGGTACTCCTGAGGGCAATCTCCAAATGAGCCCGTGCAACCTTAATTAACTAGGATTTTTAACTAACGTGCTTAAATTATTAACCTAATCTCTTCTTGTTTTCACCGCGCTTCATTCTATTAAACAAAATGGTTGATAGTCAAGTAAAAATCTATGAGCTCTTTACATGTCGCACGGATTAGATGTATGTCCCTTTCACGAAAAAGATAGAAATGGTCCCGTCTATGTTCACGGTTGTTCGAAGGCAAGGGACCACGAATTTTTCGGGCACTATTATCATTGTTAGTATTCAGAGCATGTATACATGACACGCGTGCCTCGCCCATTTCACCATTACCATGCAAATAATGAAACAAGACCCGTCGTTAATTTCTTGCACGCACTGGTATTTGATTCTCGATCTCGTTGTTTCGTAAGGAATCGTGAGCACAGCTTCTAGAAAGCTTCGAAGGACGAGCCGCCGCTCGTTCTGGTCACTTCACCCGCTACATATGGAATTGAAAAACTGTGAATTCCGTGGCTGACGGATGCGGAATTCAGTAATTTAATGAATTCAGCCCGGGAAGATTCTGAGGTGTTGGAGTGTTGCTGTGGGCTATCTTTTCTGGGGGTACCACCGTGAAACTGACTAGCGATATGGGTTAGATGAAACGTGCATTTTACTGGGTAGGTGGCTTCACCTTTGTTGAATCTGGAACGAGTGCCTTTTGCCTCTTTTTCACTCGTTCCATGCAGGTTCTGGTGCATTATCTGCGGGTCTTAAAGTCAACAGTAAAAGGAAAGAGAGAATGAGAGAGACGATGGGAAACGCAGTGCAATTCCATTGACGGTGTCATTCAAAACCTCATTCGGAGACAGTACACATTGCTCGTCACTTTCTCACCTACATTTTCGCTCTGATAGACCTAGCAACTTGATGAACAAACATTTACTCGGATCATATGCTCTCTGACAGTGTTAAACTACAAGATCAACCATGCTCAGGTGCAGACAATGAACATAGAGCCAAAAATAATATGTAGACGACCTTAGCTGGGTATCTATCGTTGAGGGTGCGCTCTGTTTCTACTGATTAAGACTACAACATATGAAGTTTTCTTTACTACTGTGTGCTCTTTACTGTCAAATCATGCGGATTTCTCATCGTTTCACCATCTTCTCTCGAGGAGAACCGAAGGTCTGCCCGTACCATAAGAGTCATGTCAGTGACGGTTGGTGTCTGCTTCTCTCCCATGCTTCGACCTGCCATTCAAGCTCACTTCCCACAGCGTTGACCCTCCCTTAAGACTCTTAAAACATTTGGGTCCGGTGTGAGGCATCACGTGTACAACTTACCCGGAAAATTAAGGACATTTTCTCTCTCTCGAAGTTTTGGTAGCTCTGGCTCTCACATTTCACAAGAATTATCAAGACACTTCTCCACTATTGCTTTTATGATTTTTTTTGTTAGCTATCTCTATTCAATGCTCTCCGATTTAGATTGACATCCCCTATATAAACCCCACTAGAAGCTGGAAAAAAAACATATCAGATTTGGCGTTTCCAACATTGTGCCGAGAAAAGAGAGAGAATACAAACACCCCATTTTTTCATTTTACTAGAGAAGATGGTGAGTGTTTTGGCTCCTAGAGTTGAGAGCTTGTCGAGCAGTGGCATTCAGGCAATCCCGAAGGAGTATGTGAGGCCACAGGAGGAGCTCGCAAGCATTGGCGACGTCTTTGAGGAGGAGAAGAAGCATGAGGGCCATCAGGTCCCGACGATCGACCTCAAGGAGATAGAGTCCGAAGACCCCCTGGTGAGGGAGAGATGCCACGAGGAGCTCAGGAAGGTTGCCGCTGACTGGGGCGTCATGCACCTTGTCAACCACGGGATCCCCGATGACCTGATCGAGCGCGTCAAGAAGGCTGGGGAGGTGTTCTTCAACCTCCCAATCGAGGAGAAGGAGAAGCACGCCAACGACCAGGGCTCCGGGATGATCCAGGGCTACGGGAGCAAGCTTGCCAACAACGCCAGTGGGCGGCTCGAGTGGGAGGACTACTTCTTCCACCTCGTTTACCCTGAGGACAAGCGCGACATGTCCATCTGGCCCAAGACCCCAAGCGATTACACGTGAGTGAAGTCGAATCTTTCATTTGCGCAAAAGGCAACAAGTAATTAGAAATGGTATATAAATTGAATGGCGACTTTAGTCATGAACAGGTGAAAAATGCATGGTCCTTTCCTTTGGCAAAACTGTGACTTGGGAAATTTTAAGCTCTCAATGGGAGTTTTCTAGTTCCTAATCAGAAAATGTTGCTAGTGCTGTTTTTGTCGCTCTCGGCATCCTTTTTGCACGCTTAACTTGTTACTTGTCGCCTGTCGATGTGCAGAGTTGTGACGAGCGAGTATGCCAAGCTGCTGAGACAGCTCGCGACCAAAATCCTATCGGCACTCTCAATTGGTCTAGGACTTGAAGTAGGGAGGTTGGAGGAGGAAGTCGGCGGGCTAGAGGAAATGCTGCTTCAGATGAAGATCAACTACTACCCGAAATGCCCCCAACCAGAGCTAGCCCTAGGAGTTGAGGCTCACACGGATGTGAGTGCTCTGACTTTTATCCTCCACAACATGGTCCCCGGACTTCAGCTCTTCTACGAGGGCAAGTGGGTCACGGCCAAATGTGTCCCCAACTCCATCATCATGCACATTGGGGACACACTTGAGATCCTGAGCAATGGCAAGTACAAGAGCATCCTCCACCGCGGGCTGGTCAACAAGGAGAAGGTCAGGATCTCGTGGGCCGTCTTCTGCGAGCCCCCGAAGGAGAAGATCATTCTCAAGCCGCTGCCCGAGCTGGTGAGCGAGGCAGAGCCTGCGCTGTTCCCACCCCGCACATTTGCTCAGCACATCCAGCACAAGCTCTTCAGGAAGAGCCAGGACGCATCGAAATGATCGGCATCTGTTTGTCTCGTGTTGATTCGGTCACATTAGCTAAAAAACGAAAACTTTTTCTATGCGTTTGTCAGTTGATTTATCATGTTCTGTGTCACGAAATGCTGATCTGGTCTTCTGACCTGATTCTGTTAAATAAGATTCATGTTTTCTCATCTGATTTTAGTCCCACCTTGTTTGCTATGGAAAATTCGAGGATTACCTTCCATCACACAGAGAAAAGGGACTGTTTAACATAAGCAAGAGACGCGACCTAATGGTGTTCAATCAATCATTACACCATAGCCTAAACCAGGCATCATCTACAGGTTCCTCAAATTAGAGAAACACCTAATTTTATCGCGGGGATAGTTAATATCGAGAATGACATTTACAGATTACAGGGATTACAGAAGAAATTCCAGCAATCAGTAACTTGTCAGTGACCATGTTGTTCCTATTAAACAAGGGTGAGAGAAATTATTGTTTTACTGAGATTCTGGGAGATTTTAAAGACCTAAAGTATATTGAACTCCCTTAACACACCCCACTTGCAGTAAAATAAAAAGAGGGTCACCTGTAGTAAGAACCTTTCTAGGAGGCTAAGGACAACAAGTGCTCTGACGCATATTTCAGATCCAGCATCAGAAAATATATTCCAACTCATAAGTGTCTGGCGGCACTTTGGCCGGTGATGGAGGGACATACATCGAGGGCTCGTCGTCGATGAAAAAGAATAATGGCCTCAAATAGCGCATAACTTTGTTTCAAAGATATAATGCTACCTTATTCAAGCATATAAAAATAAATGGCAGATACACTCCCGTCGGCTATTGCAACAAAATTGGGGAAAGAAAGTATTTCTTCGTAATTGTGCTCACAACATTGCCCCATCATTCATATTGTACTAGTGACCTCAAAGGTTCGTTTGAAAAGAAAGCTCTCAAGTTATCGATTATGAGTTCCTGCACTGCTTCGAAAGCTTCCGGAGTCATGACGGCGCGATGCGGAGAGAGCACAACGTTGTCCAGCGCAAACAGCTCATCCGGCACCTTGGGCTCGCTCTCAAACACATCAAGGCCGGCACCACCGATCTCGCCTCGCACCAAGCGCTGCACCAGCTCTTTCTCGTCCACCAGAGCCCCGCGCCCAACGTTTATGATTATGCCTTGTTTACCAAGCGCCGACATTACATCCTTGTTGATGATGTGGCGAGTGCCTTCCGCCAGCGCACAGCAGAGAACAAGAACGTCGCTATTGGCCGCGAGGTCACGGACGTTCGCGTAGTAAGCATATGGAACGTGCGGTTTTTCCTTTCTTGAGTAGTAGGTGACGCTGCATCCGAAAGCTACCAGCCGTTTCGCAGTCTCGGAGCCGATACTTCCAAGCCCAACAATGCCGACCCGTTTTCCCCCTAACTGCAATGTTTGACATTCGGCTAGGTGAATTCCAGAATACTCCATTTTGTGCAAAGCAATAGAAGTCGTTGAGGACTTAAATGTGAGAGATTGCTATCACTTTCAGACCATCTGCAATTAATCACACCTAACCATTCACCTGCTTTTCTATGCATCTATGTAATCATATAGGCTACATTTAGCGTACACCACAGGATCTAAAACCTCATGAAATATCGGTGTCGGGAACTAGAACCGGCACTCATGACAAATTCCTGGCAATTCAGCTAAGAACGGATCACTGTCATTTTACTCCGGAAGGACTGCCATTCCCAGCATAAGTAGTCTGGCTCACCAAATCTTATTACCTTTCTAGGGAACTGCAGTAACATTGGTCGCGACATCAAATCTGGCGAATCCCGTTAAATTATTTTCACTCGGTGACTAACTGTCCGTCAATCCCTTCTTCATCAACTGTCCGCCAATCCCTTCTTCCTCGCATCTTTACATCCTATCCTTGTGCCGAAGAGAAGTTCATAACATCTCCAGATTCAGTTAGGTCGCCGGTATACCAACAGCGCAAATATTCACCGGCTATTTCCACCATACAACTAATGAAGACGCGGCAGCCATAAAATAGAATCATAATAGAAGTTTTAATCACTGCTTAAACTAACAATGTGATAAAAATCTCAAACTTTCTCTAACTTATCCCCCCTCACATCCGTTGAATCCCGATTAACTCGCCTTAAACAGGCGCTACCCGGCAGTCTGCTCATCTAATCATGTCCAAACCACCAAAGTGACGAACAATATCTTGATTAGATCGCTCGATTAATGTTCCTATCGATATCACGAAACAGTTCTCTAGCCCATAATGTATTTTAATTTCAGCCACTCTTTCATAAGTATGATGCCGAATCCGAACATATCCTTAACAAGATACGAGATTTCGACCAGGGTCTTGTTAGTCACTATGTTAATTACTATGCAACTTAGCGAGCTAACTATTTCCAAATCGAGCAAAGTACCATTTTTCACATCTTGAAAGCGTGTTGGAAAGTGCAGGACTAGAATTGCTAAAACTAAAGTTTACAGGGACCACTTTGCAAATCTCCAAAAACTACGAACTTGGTATTCAGCCCAACATCACCGGAATGATTAACGATGAATAAAGCTGACCGACCTTGAAACCGAGGGGGAACTCCCTCTGCACCGGCCACGACCCGGCCCGGACGAACCGGTCGCCGTGCGAGACCCGCCTCATCACGTCGATCAGCATCGCGACCGCGTAGTCCGCCCCGTCCTCGCGGAACGCGGCGCTGGCGTTCGTGACGGCGATCCCCCGCTGGCGGCAGTACGGGAGGTCCACGTGCTCGAGCCCCGCGCTGGAGACGACGACGAGCTCGAGGGACGGGAGGAGGTCCAGGGTGCCGGCGCTGACGGGGAGGAAGGGGGTGAAGAAGGAGACGACGGCCCGGACTGAGCGGCAGCGGAGGGAGAGGAAGGAGTGGGCGGGCTCCGGCGAGTCGAGCGGGTCGAGGAGGCGGAAGTGAGGCCGGAGGCGGGCGGCGAAGGGGAGGGCGAGGGCGGAGGGGCGGAGGAGGAGGACTTGGGGGAGGAGGACGGCGTCGTTCTGGGGCGAGTTGGTGTCCATCGTTGGATCGTTGACCGACTGATGGTGGTGGGACGTGAGAATCGAGGGGCGATGATCGCATTGAAGAAACGCGACTCGTACCCATCGCCGCAAATTTATTGGACTTTCGGTTGAATTTTGACTTAATTTATAATATATTTTTTAAATTTTAAATTTATTTGATGTGACCTCATCATCTATAAATTTTTAATTTATTGAATGTAAGTTTTAAATTTTTAATTTCTGAACGGTATGAAAATGTTCGATATTATTTCTGAACTTGAATTAATAGAAGGATAACATCGAATACTTCCATATAATTCGGGGACTAAATTGAATATGTACCTATAATCTATGGACCACATTGAATAAATTAAAAATTCAGGGATGATATTGTATATTGAGTTAAAGTTCATGGATCACATTGAACAAATTCAGGAATCACATTACACATTTGGCCAAAGTTAGAGAATTGTTCGTGTCGTTATCCCTTAGACTATAGCTCTTTCGGATTCGACTGTACTTGTAGTTTTCATGGTTGATGTTGGATTTTTATTGTCATTAATATTATTAAATTTAATAGGATAATAATATATGATGTTGCTATCACAGCTGTCAAAGACCAAAGGGGACTTTTTACGTCAGCCGGCTCGTCATTTGTTTTTAACATTTTTCCGTTTGAATTTAACTAGAAAACGACATTGCGTGCAAACAAATCAAAAGAGAAAAAAATAAGAACAACAGTAATTTCACCAAAAGATATAACCACCAAGAGCATTTCCATATAAATAATCAAATTATATTATCGCCAACAATGAAAGTAATTAAGTCGGATTTGTATTATATTATAAACATTAGTGCATATCATTCCATGGAAAATCGAATTAACTCACTATGCCCTGCTCAAATTGTCATATGAGAATTCAAAAAGACCGTTTAGTTTTTTTTTTTTATCTGTTCAACTTTAATTTTCAACTCACTTTCCAACTTACTTTCAGATTTTTGCACTGTCTCCTTGCAGAGTTTAGGAGTCGAAAACCATATCTGAAACTAAACGTCCACATCCCTAACTCCTTTGAAAGTGGAGAATCAGACTCCCCACCTCCTCCTTCTCAAGTAGGAAAGATGGCCACTGAGGCAAACCTCAATAATTTTAAACAGCCGTTGGTTCAAAGGGACCAGATTGAGATAATTTTACAACTGTGGGGGCTGATTGAGATAGGATTCTGACACTAATCAGATAGAGGGGGATTGACCCAAAAGTACGAGGGCCAGGAAGCAATTTTCCCCCCTCCAAACATTCCCAAGAATCATCTGAGAGATGTTGCTGTTCAACAAAACGTTGATACAGCTCATGCTGCTTTATTCTTTTCCCCCCCTAAAAGCAGTACAAATGAGAGACTGTGGAACCTATGAATCAAACATCTCTTCACCCATGAGAATGGGCTGCCGCCTCCTTGTTACTCGAGCCTGACGAGGCATGACAAGGGCTCGTTCACGAAGAAAGCCTTCAGGTTCGATACGGTGAGCTCCCGCATTGCCTCGAACGACTCCGGAGTGATGACAGCGCGGTGCGGAGATAACACCACGCTGTCCAGACCGAACAGCTCTTTCGGCACGTTCGGTTCGTCTTCAAACACGTCGAGGCCCGCACCGCCGAGCTCTCCTCGCACCAGAAACTGCACGAGCTCATTCTCGTCAATGAGACTGCCTCGCCCCACGTTGATTATGACCCCTCGATCTCCCAGAACGGTCATGACCTCTCTGTTGATCACGTGGTGGGTTTCTTCTGTTAGCGCACAGCACAAGACGAGGACATCAGAATTGGCGGCGAGATCGTGGACGGTTGCGTGGTAAGGAAACGGAAATGATGGCTTCTTGCTTCTCGAGTTGTAGGCAATGTCGCAGCCGAAGGGCTGTAGCCTTTTGGCGACTTGGGAACCGATGTTTCCCAGTCCCACAATTCCCACTCGCTTTCCTCCTAACTGTAACAATACAAGCACAGTCATAATCCACTCAGCATCTTAAAAAGTAAATATTCATGAAACGTAAAATGCAGCTGGAAGAATCAGTTTCACTTGTACAAGACATAACTAGAAAGGCACGGTAGAGTTGAAAAGAAACTGTAAGCGAAGGTAAGACTCAGTCTCAATGTTTAGATTCGACATCCTCAGAAAACAGCAGCGAATTTACTACTCAATGACCAGAGATGGGACGCTTTTCAGCAATACTCATCATAAAATCTTCACATAACCACCCGAATCTTCATTTAGAAGAACCAGTGGCCAAATTTCTGTTCTCATGCTCATGAATTTGACCTCCTGTTGGTTACATTTAACACTACATCTCCAGTTGCATGTAGATCAACTTCCTAAAAGGAAAGTACCACAGATGTACATACTATCTAATCGAGCGATAAAAGCATTCAAGAATACAACAAATCACAGACACCCTGACTAACCTCTCGACTCAGCATCAGACCTAACAATAAGATCCATAGTAGTAAAATAGCCAGCGTTCAACAGCTTATTTTCAGTAATAAGAGTGTTAAAGCTCTCTGGCTCAGACTGATCATCAACTAGTATCCTCTTCATCGCCACAGAGGATCTTCTTCCATGAATATTTCGTCACTGCATTAGCTCATGGCCAGTGCCCCTGAATTCTACATTAGAAGTACAAACATTATAGCGGATCATAGTATGAAAACTAAACACACCTAGTTACTTACTTCAACAAATTCAACTTCCCATTAACCAGCCAATTTCAAGCAAAACCCTTCCACCAGAGTAACCAAATCTATTGCGTAAACTCGCGCTACTAGACTAAATTAGGCACACAACTAGACTGCCCGACGGCAATCTACACTCGCCTTCATCGACAACATATATGTTCCCAAGCAGCATCCGAACCGCAATACTGGTCCATATGTACTTGATGGAACGCAGACAAACACTATCTTTTTCGTGCATCTTCAACTACGTAGCTGAATTCACTGCTTGAACACCAAAGAAAATCAGGAGAACAAATAGAACAGGATTGAATGAACTGGCTTCAACTACCTCACTCTCTTCCTAAAGATTCAACACGAGATAGTATGTTGAACAGCCAATACTTATGACAACCTCAAAATACACCCAAAAATGAAAGCTTTCAATCGATACCAACCAACAAAAAAGTACCCAGAGAGAAAATTTGCCCGACAGAACCGGTGCTCACCTTGGATCCAAGCGGGTAATTTCCACTCTTCAACCACAAGCCCTCCTTGAGGTACCGGTCGGCCGCCGATATCCGCCTGAGGACGTCGAGCAGGAGCGCGACGGCATAGTCGGCGACGTCCTCGGCGAAGGCGGCGCCGGCGTTGGTGACGGCGATGCCGCGCCGGCGGCACTCGCGGAGGTCGATGTGGTCGACGCCGGCGCTGGTGCCGATGACGACCCGGAGGGAGGGGAGGAGGCGGAGGGTGTCGGCGGGGAGGGTGGTGGGGCCCACGCAGACGAGGGCGCGGGCGCGGCCGGCGCGGCGGGCGAGGAAGGCGTGGGCGGGCTCGTCCGGCGGCGAGTCCGTCCACGGGTCGAGGATGGTGAAGTGGTCGTTGAGGGAGGCGTGGAAGGGGAGATCGAAGGATCGGAAGCGGTGGACGAGGACGTCGGGACGGCCCGACCCGGGTTCGGTGCCGGGTTCGGGCAGGGAAGACATTTGTGTTTTTGCCAAAGGGGTCCGTGGGTGGGTGGGTGGGAGAGTGAAATCGGTCGGCGGCGTGAGACTGTGACCGGTGCAAAACTCCGCGACAATGATGGCCCGAGGTTGAGCTGGGCGGGCGTCCTCCTGTCGAATCTAATGACCCTTTGGAAGAATCTTCCATGTCCTCTAAAGTCCAAACCGCGACCTAAGGGAGAAAAAGGAACCGTCCCGATTGGACTGGACTGATTCATTTTGGTGGTTCCAAAGGTCATTAGTCCGATTTTCGATTCCATAAAAAATGATGAATTTCGATTTGGTTCCCGATTTTAAGGGTGAAATTGCCCATAAGGACCACCCAAACCAATTATTATTTTTCATTTCTTATAAATTTAAAAGCTCTTACTCGCTATTCCCATCCTGCCTTCTTGTCTAGATAGATAGTTTCTTCGCTTCATTGCCCAGAGAAATCTGTTCATCCACAGTCATCCCTAGCGTCGCTCGTCCAAGCCGAGCTACTCTTTCCGTCCTCTCCGTCGTCGCTCGCGGCCATGGAGGAGTCGTTGTTGCCAGCTTGAGATTTGGAAGTTCACAAACTCCACATTTGGACCGGCGAAATCGCCGGTGCAATCGTTTAGGCCGAGCCCTTTCCGTCGTTGAGCCACCCCTTCCGTCCTCTCCATCGTTGCTTGCAGCCGTGGAGGAGCCGTCGTCGCCAGCTCCAGATCTGGAAGTTTGCAGACTCCACATCTGGACCAACGAAGTCACTGGCGTAGTCGTCCAAGCTCGTGTGTCCAAGCCGAGCCCTCTTCCTTGTTGCTCGCAACCATGGATGACCCACCATCTAAAAGTTCGCAGGCTATATTTGGAGGCACAACTCCACGGCTGGACTAGTGGCTCGTCCAAGCTGAGCCACTCCTCCATCGTCTAGGCTTGCCAAATATGTGGATGAGCTGCCTTGTGAGTCACGGACAAGGCTAGATCTGGACGGGCAATGAGTAAGACGACCATGAGCAATGTTGAAAGGAGTGGCTCGGCTTGGAAGCATGAGAGGTGCTCCACTAGTGACGATGGTGGGGGAGCCACCGGTTCCATTTACCTTACTGGGAACCGGATCGGTCGGTCCGATCTAGCTCTAGGACCAGATAGTCCGGTTCCCAGTTCCAGAGAACGAGGAACCGGTCTCACCAGTCCAGTTTCTGGGTGGGAACAGGACCGCCCTGGGAACCAATCATCCCTAATTGCGATGATATCTTCATCCGCTTTACCCCCCTTTTTTTATAACTAGAGATAAATCTTTTAGGCATAAAAGTCCAAATAAATCGGTATATTAACACGTAAATTCAAATTAGGTAATATTCCACCGTATAATGAACCGAAATACTAGATGAATTAGACGGGCGGTATATCTCCGAAGCAAAATTATTCGGATTATCATATACTTTTTATTTTGTAATGAGTAGCTCCTTAGTAAGTCAAGTTCGAAGGTCACATCCCAAAATCATGACTTAGTTTCAAGTGACAAGTGACAATCATATAACATTTACGTTCGTTGACGAGGGAAAGAGAAGTCATCCAAATAAGTCATTATCTAATACGGTTCTGGCATAGAATATCGAGGGTAACATGTATTCCAGATGGACAATCCGAATTCATCAGTTCTAGAGTGCTGAATCGGAGTCAACATGATTTGATGTGATTTTGAATAGTTTAGGCAGATTAATACGAAATGAGAGGAAATGCCACGGATTGTCAGGTCGAGAAGATGGGATTCAGAATTGCCATTCTTGTTCAAGTCAACGACCCAACACACAAACAAAAGACCCTTGGGGCTTAAACGGGCTAAATAGGCCGATCCGTTTGTTCCACGAGAAGAAGGCATTTGGATCCTCAATTGGCCGGGCCTTAACTAGCATCATGAATTCGCTGTAGCTGTTTCGATTAGGGGTGTGTAAAACAGATCGCCTAAACCGGAAACCGCCCGGACCGGACCAGATTGGCCGGTATGGTTCGGTTATCGAGAGTGTCAGTCCAATTTCCGATTCCTAAAAGTGAAACCGGGGTTTGGGTGGTCCGGTTCCTGGTTCCAAAGGAGAACCGGATAGATCGGACCGGACTGACTACATATTTTTTTTTTTTATTTCTTTAAAAAAACTAATAAAATGTGAATATGGCATCAATGTGTATTAGAGAAGAGCCGAACAAGTGAGCAACGCCGATGGCTTGAGTAGGTGATGGCCAAATTAAGTCAAGTCGCTCTATGTTGGTCCCTCTTAGCGTTGAGCATAGAGACTTTCGGAAATATTGGTTTCTGATTTATAGGCCCAGATGGTTAGGCATTGGTGGCGAGACATTGCAACATCATTAGCAAACTCTTCACGTCTTGATTAACAATTTCGTTCAATGTTAGGAAGTCAGGAGGGACCTTTATTCCTCCTCTCCGTATGGCCATTATAAGAGAATCAATTTAAAATTCAAATTTTAAATTATCCTCCATAATTTCAGCCTTCTCATTATTGTAGATAGCTGTCAATTAGTTGAGATTTTCTCCATATTTTTAGTTGTTGCCATCCTTGTACATGTACTATAAATATCATTGATATACATCAATGAAAATCATCCTGGAAATTATTCTCTTAATCTTCTCCTTTATGGTATCAGAGCATATCTGCTCTTAAGAGCCTCTCTCATCCCGTGTCTGCTCCTAGCCATGGCTGCCACAAACTCTACTTCTGAAACAATGACTGCCACAAACTCTACTTCCGAAACAATCCTCCCCGAAATTCCTGCAACCACTTCAACAGGACTCATTGCAATCTCTACTGGTGCGCAACTTCCCATGAAGCTGACTTCCATCAACTATGCTTCTTGGAGGGCTCAATTCATGTCCTTGCTAGTCAGATATGACCTTGATGGAACACGTCCTTGCCCACCGGAAGAGATCACTTGCGGCAATCAAATAGTCCCAAATGCCGCCTATTTTCGTTGGATTAGACAAAATCAACTCTTGCTCAACGGGATTTTTGCTTCCACTTCCGAAGCCATCATTCTCCTTATTGCCTCTTGTGCAACATCTCAAAGTGCATGGAACAAACTTACAACACTTTACGCAAGCAAATTTTCGATCTCGTGTCTTGCATCTCAAGGACCAATTATCAACGGTTAAACGCAACTCTCGTTCTTTTTCTGATTTTTTACAACAACTAAAATCTATTGTAGACGAGTTGGCAATGATTGATTCACCTCTCCATGATGATGACCTTGTCATCCATGCTCTCCGGGTATTAGGACCGGAATACCATGAAATCGCAGCAGCAATTCATGCTCGTGAACACACAATCACTTTCGAGGAACTTTACGACAAATTAGTCGCCCATGAAATGTTCCTTCAACATGAAAAAACAGCAGCTGAAGTCCTGCCGGTAACAGCCAATTTTAGCACTCGGAAGGCTCGAGGTCCGAGAGCCCTATGTCGATGGAACAGTTCTAGACATTCTGGACAACCTGCCGGAGACTCCAGAAATTCCCTTGGCACCCGCAATTCAGACCGTCGGAGAGATCATAGAAGCAGTGACTCAAGGTCTCTACGGCAAAATAGCTCTCGGCCCGTTTTTCAATACTGTGATAGTGTGGGACACTCCGCCAAAAATTGTTTCCGTATTCGAGACACAGTCCGTGCTCCGGTTGCAAATGTTGTAGCCGGCCCAAGTTCAACCCGAGAAGCGGGTTGGTTGATTGATTCGGGAGCCTCACATCATGTTACAAGTGATCTTGCTAATTTATCTCTGCATAGCGAGTATGAAGGTCCGAATGAGATAGTCATTGGCGATGGCTCAGGTTTGAGTATCACTCACATTGGTTCTACCACATTAAATTACCTATATACTTCCTTTCAATTGGCTAATGTTTTACGCACTCCTCACATAACCAAAAATTTAACTTCGGTTTCACAATTTTTTCGTACTAACCGAGTCTCGATTGAATTCTTTGTCTCTCATTTTTTGGTAAAGGAACTTCGCACGGGGGTGACTCTACTTCGAGGGGAACTTAGAGACGGCGTTTATCGTTTGCCGCCATCCTCTTGGCAGCCACATGTCTCACACACAGCTTTGGTTGGTGAGCGGACACGAGCAACTACATGGCACAATAGATTAGGTCATCCATCCATCCATATTTTACATCATACCATTAAGCATTTTTCACTTCCGTCATCAAATGAGTCTAGTCTAGGAAATAAGTTACCATGTACTTCTTGTCGTTGCAATAAAAGTCATAAACTACCATTTCACTCTTCTACTTTTGAAGGTAGACATCCACTTGACTTATTGTACATGGACGTTTGGGGTTCGGCATCTATTTTATCTATTGATGGTTTCCGTTATTATGTTATTTGTATTGACAATTTCATTCGTTATATTTGGTTTTGTCCCATCCACAACAAATCCGATGTTGCACCTATTTTTGAACAATTCAAAACACTTGTCGAAAAATAATTTCAACAAAAAATACGAACTCTTTATTTTGATGGGGGTGGGGAATTCATTAAACTCAAACCATTTTTAGCAAAACACGAAATTTCACATCTAACCACACCTCTATACACCCCACAACATACACATCGTCGAAACCGGATTAACTCTACTACACAAAGCCGGCCTACCCCCACTTTTTGGACCTACGCCTTCCAAACCGCCACATATCTTATAAATCGCCTACCTACAGATTCATTAATCTTCAATCTCCATATCATCGCCTCTTCGGCAAACCCCCGAACTACCTAAAACTTCGAATTTTTGGATGCCTCTACTACCTATGGCTTCGGCTATACACAAAAAATAAGCTTTTACCACGCTCCCACCCATGTATTTTTCTTGGTTATTCTTTAACTCAAAGTGTGTGCAAATGTTTTGATTCTACTACCAAAAAAATATTTCTCTCACGTCACGTTGTCTTTGATGAAACCGTCTTCCCATACCCTTCTTTGAACTTACCGAAGTCCTCCCCCTCATTCTCGGTCAAAACTCCTCTTCTTCAGTCGCCCATTGTGCCATATATTGCTCCTGCTTCGAACACGCCATCAGTCGTGACAAGGACTCTTTCTAGTAACCCAG